ACATAACCTTCCCAACCTATGTTGCATGCCTACATGGGGTTACAAGAGGTGCCACCTCGATCAGGAGGTTGCAGATCAGAGGGTGAGCAAAAGAACACTATGCAAATTAGGGAGGGTGTGTAGATGTTGCAAGTTGGGAGGATACATGGTGATGTACAATAATACAATGGAAATGAGGCCTCAGAAAGCTGTACTGAGGTGCACAAGTGTTAGGTAAACAAATATTTCTGAAATGATGACTTAATGGATCATGGGTTCTCTACTTAAAATTATACAAATAAAAATTAATACAAAGTACAAAAAATAATCAAATTCGTCCTTTATCATAACAGTATGAACAACTTTAACAAATCAGCTTATCTTAAAATGCTACAAAATATAACAAAGAGTCTCCTCATAGTATCTATAAACATAACTTTTAATATCTCGCCACTTAGTCCTGATCAGCAAAAATGCCACAACGGGTTATCGGAAACAACAACATCTAGTTTAACCTCGATCAAAAAAGCCAATTTTATAATCTTTCCCTTTTAACAGTCTTAGACTTTCATCCTTTCAAATAAAGTCTCAGAACTTTGTTTTTCTTTGACCCTTCTTATCAAGTCTTCCAAAACTTCAACAGATTTCTTTCAAAATCCAGCATCAAAAAATTAGCCAAGAAGTCTTCTAAGGATATTGCAAACTGATATTCCTGGAATAGTCAGATGATACTATGATTGAAAACTGCAGTCAAATCCTGGACCCGGGTTGCTGAAAACTCCAGAGAAGGAAATATTGTGAGATTGCCCACACATACTCTAGACAGGAGGAACCAAGGTTGTGCAGTCAGATTGTAAGCAGCTGGGGCCATGCTCACAGTCTTAATTTAGCTTATATGGACTCAAAGTTCGACCAGTCCTCAATACTTAAGCACTTTGAAACTATTTTTTTTTATTTTACAAATATTGAGAGCCCTCTCGATGGTAAGTCTTCTCATGTTGACTGAGTTTCCTTCAATCCTTTAAGAAATGTGTCAAGTATGAGTTTAAAGATTTATAAAAATGGGATATGTAGCAAAAGGGTGATTAGTGTGTTGATTTTAAAAAGTTTCAAAGTGATTAAATGTGCAAATGGGCTTGGAATAAGATTTTGAAATAAGTATAATATTTTTTTTGTTGGAAAACTATGTTTATACAGTTGAGGAAAAAAAAAACACAAGGGAATTTGAAGTGTGGACACTAAAGCAGTGGTGGAATTCAAATATTTTTACTACCGATTCTGAGCCTGACGGGAAGGATACTGTAAAATCTCCAGTCAGAGTTGGTATTTGCCGGTTTTCCAAACTACTCAAAATTTCCACTACCAGTTCTCCAGAACTGGTCAGAACCTGCTGAATACCACCTCTGCGCTAAAGGATTGTATTAAAAATAATTAATGGGAGGGGGGAAGATTTACTTGTTCTTACTGGTTTTTTTAATCCACCAGTGGTCATTCCGTTTCTCTGCTTTGATAAGGAAATATGTCTGAAATGATGATCTAACTCAGCATGAGTTGTTTAGTTAGATATAAATGTAAAAGAAAGCATTTCAAGTGGGATTATTAGATGAAGTTTATAATCAATACGTTGTTATCTCTGGTAACCCTTCATGAGCTTTTGCTGGTTAGGAGGGAATGATGAAGCTTTAATGATTGTTTTATAGAGAATGAAGTGAGATATGGGATTGCATCACACTTGTGTCAGAAGCACTGAGGTGCTTCCAGGTTGAAAGGATTAGCCAGTGACATTACTGTTGCCTGGGGGATACCCAATTGAGGACTCATTTCATGTCCCCAACAGGTGCTGGAGCAAAGGACAGGAGCTCACCCACCCCAACTTTGGTCTTGAACGTGGGCTTGCTGACCTCCAACCCATCATCCTATCCATGTGAACCACCGTGTTCCTAGATATGGAATAAAAAGATTGTTATATTTTAAGAGATGGTGATAATTTGTCAAAGTGGGGTATACCTGCTGGGATAAAGGGGAATGTTATTTCTTTATATATTTCTTCTCTCTCTATTAACGTTTTTCTTTTTTATCTCTCTGCACTTTTTATTTTACTTTCTTATTCTTTTATGTAGCTTGTATTAGTTTTATCTACACAATGTAATCTTTAATACAATTATCATTAGAAACAAAAATTACCCACATTATTCTTTTAGTGTATTATTTATATGCCCCTTTTAATTATTAAAGCAACAGCTGGTTTCATTTGTATATCCAGAATATCATCTTGGAATACAGTCATCTAAAGAAGAAATGCAAACATTTCCAATTTCCAGGAAGCTATTTGTACAGACCAACCTTAAACTCTTAGGAGACCCTTTGTTATTACGGATTAACAGTTGAGGCCAAATTTCAATAAAGCAATCCTTAACTGAAGCAGATCTTCAAAGTCTATCAGGGTTTTTCTCAGATCTTGTAGACCCACTTTTAAATCCACTGTTAAATCTGTTTCAATCTTGTCTGGTAGAACTTGTTCCTCTTTCATAGCATCATTTACTCACAGTGTATGGATGTATATTCTAAAAATTATCTTTTAATTCTGTTGTTCACAAATACCCTTTAATAAATCCAATGTTAAAATATTTTGCTCCATTGTGTGTTAAGTCAAATGTAAGCGTGCTTCTATTATTGCCTTCTGGCTGCTAGTGACCAGTCTTTAAAGTCCCATCCTATCATGTTTTTCTTTCTTTCTTGGAATTCCAAAAAATAGCACTGTTGCATAGGAAGGATTCTTTTAATTAATTTTACAATCTTATTTCAAGTCCACCTGGACCCTTAAGTCCATTTGTAACTTTCCAAAACAAATCTTTAATTCTTTTCCCATTAATTCCCCTCAAAGGATTTTTTCTAAGTCTTTAAACTTGTAGCTAAAACTTTTGTTTGTTAAGGATTGAAGGAAACTCCCCCAGTGAATGACGTAAACCTTGCTGCTCTGAAACAAGGAACAGCAGTAAAAATTAATTTCAAATGTGATTAAGCAATAAAGCTTGGGTGGTTCCAACAGTCAGCTCACAAAACACTGTTGTCTAGAGTTCATGTGGGCAAATTTGCAATCTCTCCTTTCTCCAGCGAGATTTCACCAGCCAGGTTCTATGCTGTTGACCACCATTCTCGGTTATGATGTCATCCCCGCTCCTTTAGGGACATCTAGCTCACCAGGTCATCATTGGAAGTCTCTCAGGAGACTCGCAGCATGCCCTCTCTCTGCTGGATCTGGTGGGATGGGTAGATGTAATTGGGAAGAGACAGTCCCTCAAATAGTCCAGTCCCATGCAATGAAGGACCCGCAAAGGTCAAGAACCAGCACCTAGAATCATACCCAAAAACAGACTGGTATGCAATGTGGGTCATGTGTGACCAGCACTCACAAATTATGTCCCTTTATCTAAACAAAATAGTAAAAT